TAGGAATAGAAGTAAACAAAAGTGTATCTTTTCGACTCTTCTGGAAAAAAAACGGAGCTACATCCAGAAGTTCTTAGCAATGAATACTACTTGAGCGAGTACTGGCCACCTCCAAGTACAGGGCCTCTGAAAATCGCACTCTGAGTGCAAACACCGGCACCGTGGGTTACTCCCTTCACATGTTTTTCTAGAATACTCGCTTGCACAAAGTGCATTTGCACGTCTAATGGCCAGAGTTCTGCGTTGCTAGGCAAGCAACAATGAACACTCAAAGCACGAAATTTGTCAATAAACGAGAAAATTTATTAGAATAATCTTCAAGCGTCAAACACTTCTTGTTAAACGTATCACAATTATCCATTATTATCCATTACTCTGAAGACAAACATCAGCTTGATCGATGTTCAGCAAAAGATTTGTGGCTCCGATCCCTGTCGCTTACGATAACGTTGTCAGTCAGTGGCCAGTTCACATTGATATCCTTGTCGAATGGGTCGATTCCTTAACTATTAAAATTCGTAACTTTCATATTTATAAATACACATGCTCACCGTATTCTGTTGACGGATTGTAAACTCCGGTGCACTTGTAAGTGACATGAGCTCCTTCGGGAGACAGACACTGAAAAAAGAGCTTAGTAGTTGAAAACATTCACATCTACGTACTCAAGCAACTTATTTTTATTCTTGAATAATCTAAATTTCTTGAGATATATAAAGTTGGTACGCTTGGGAAAGATTTCGTGACAAGCCTGATAAAATATCAACTTTATTTGGAATTTCAAAACTATAGCTTGAGAGTTTGAAAAAGCTTTCTAGAGAATATCCGGAGGCCACTCTTAGATCGCTTACTTGGAATCCATGAGCAAAGCCGTCAGGAAGCCAGAAGGCGTGTTTGTTAGCACCATTTAGAATCACGCCATGCCACTGTCCGTAGGTAGCACTTCCAGGCCGGACATCTACGGCTACATCGAAGATCTCTCCAGTAATCTCAAAAAGATTTCTAAGTCGAGAAAGGTGGAAGAAAATACGAAATTATTAATACTAATTAATATACATTATATTATTATATTATATATGAATCAATTATTCGTCTGAGCTATGTTAAGTACCTCTATTATGAATCTAGTAATGACTATATATAGAAACTCCGATCAAAAACATATTTCAAAGCTTACAACTGAGACCAGCTTCCCCATTCCTGGTTGTGCGTGAAGACCTCGCAGAACTCCATACTTTGAGTAAGAATGGTTATCCTGAATAAACAGATTTTTTTCTGTCGAAGCTAGTCACATTTACATAGATAAAGCAAGGGCTTTGTAATTTGGGGCAACGAGTTTAGGCAGTTGCCAGACTTATCGGGTTAGCCGTCTGGCCGCTTTATGATTGGTCAAACCATGGTCTGACCAATCATGAAGCGACTAACGCCTGTGCGGATAAGTCTGGCGCCTACCTTAGACGCCTTTGAGTCGTAGGGAGGTTATGCAGCAATTTTGCGTCGCCGCAACTATCGCAATTTTCACATTGCCTGTGTTGCTGAATCAACTATACCTGCTGGAACACCTCCTTGAATCCGAGTTCGGTAGCCCATTCTGTTTCGTTGTAAGTCTCGACGAAGTATCCGCGATCGTCGGGGAAAACCTACAGACACTCGCCGTGACGCAAAAACTTGCGAATTCTACCAACCTTCGGCTTTATGACTTTGAGGTCTGGAATTTTATCGACAGTTTCGATTTCAACTTTGACGCGCTTTGTCACGTTTGGAACAGACATGTGGAATCTTCTTTTTTCTGTAAAGGGTAGTAAAAACTTGAAAAGGTGAAAAAAAATCTAGCACATAGATCATCACGAGATATGATAGACATTCGACACAGTTGCGTTTTGGGAGATAGTTCAACGATTCTATTCGCAAACTTTCGTCCGTTATACGGTTGGGAAAAACCGTCACTATAAAAGCCTTCTGTCTTTCTTGCATGAATACATTGTCAATAAGCATGAACTATTTTGAGCAACTAAGGTCTAGTCCAGCAAAATGTCACCAAATTTCTTACAAGGAATGGATTTATCCACGACTCA